GTAAAGTGGCAAATATTTTAGGCCTTGTGGGTCATAGGGTTTCTGATGTAACTCCGCTGTTGGAAGGTGAAAGCAGCCATGGACATGCACATGAACAAATGAGGAGTGCTGCATTCCAGTAAAATTATTAATGGACATGTAAAGAACATATATGCATAACCCACAGACACAGACAACGGTGCAGTGATGGACAGAGGGAAGTGGGGGGAGGGAGCTGGGTGGAGGTGGGCAGAGCAGGGGGTATGGGGATATCTGTAATAGTGCCAACAATAACAATAAAGTAAAAAATTTAATTTCATGCAATTAGCATGCACTAGGAAATCTTTTTGTTTCCCCCCAAACGTTTAAAAGTGTAAACCATTCTTAGCATGTGAGTCATATAAAAACAGGCAGCAGGCCAGGTTTCGCTGCTGCACTGTACAGTTTCCTGAGCCCTGTTTGTGGTCTTCACGCTGTGCTTCCTCCTGGAGGAGGTGGGGGATGTGTGGCTAAACCTTCAAGGATGTAGAGAATTTGAGGGGCAGAAGGGTCATCTAATCAAGGAACAGCCCGAGCCCAACAAAGTCCTGGAAACAGTTAAATATAAGATGTATTTTGTTTTATATAATTTATGTTATCTAAACAGAACAAGCACTTAAATGCTAAAATACAAAACAAAGGTACAACGTGACCTGCAGTGAAGTGTCCTGCCCCCTGGCCTCTCCTACCTCACAGCCAACCTCAGAGGCAGCCTGTCTCCCATGACTGCCTAAGAACCAGGGTGCACAGAGCTTCCCCGTTACTCTCTCAGGGGCTAGGGTGGAGGTGGGGTGTCTGGGATTCCAGAGACAGTATGAGAAGCCCCCTCACTCTGTGGGCCCCTTATGCCTGGTTTCTCCCCTCCCTTTAATTTGTTAAAAGTACTCACCAGGAGATATGTAGTTTATTGATTTTAGAGAGAGGAAGGGGGGAGAGAGAGAGAAACATTGATGTGAGAAACATCTGTTGCCTCCCATACACATGCCAAACTGGGACTGAGCCTGCAGTCTTTTGGTGTATGGGGCAACCCTCCAACCAATTTAGCAATCAAGGCATGCCCCCCTCTTTTTCTTTAAGACAACCTCCTCATGAACACCAGTGACCTCCTCATCCACAAAGAAAAGGCTACATTGGGCTCCCTCTACTTCTTTGAATTCTTTGTCCTGCTTACAAAAACCTACCTTCTCTGGTCCTCCTACATCTCTGTCTAAACTATATCAATCAATCCCCCAGGAGTCGTTTTCTCCATACCTATGTCTTTTCTCTGCAAACTCCTCCTTAAATGAGCTCAGTGCAACCACACTGCGACTTACATCTTTGCCCTGACAGCGTACATCACCCCAAACCAGGACAGCCAGACACGGAGAAGAATCCCTGTGGATGAACTAGGAAGGGGAGGGAAGCATAAGGGAACACCAGCCTACTGATAACACAGTCTAATGGCCCCCACATCCTTTTCTCTTAAGCAAGTTATACCCATTCACCACTCCAGGTCTTGGATCCTATATCTGAGAAGGTCAGACCACTCTCAGAACTGGGCGATCTTTGAGCTACAGACGGGGCCCTATTTCAGCACCACGGACAGCACCATGCTAGTGCCTGCGGCAGGGTGAGGACAGGCACCCTCTTGTTGCCCAGACACGTTCTTTGCATCACAGGCAAATTAGTTCAAGATAGGGCTGGAAGGAGGGGAGAGTTTACTACCTCAGAGCAAATGAAAGATATACGCCGACACCTCATTTTTATGTCACCTGACCTCACAGGGCTGAGAATGTAGCATCCACTGTTTGATGCATAAGGATTCCTAAAGGCTGTATGGACACAGAGGTCACAGAAGACCACCCAGCTCTGCGTCAACTATGCGTGTGGGACCAGGACTCCCTGGACTCCGAACGCACTGGGCTGTCCCAGGAGGGTTCACGGCTTGGGACACTCAGTGTCTGGTTCCTGAGCACCAGACTGAGGAGAGGGACGGGAAGAATTCCAGAACGTACCTTTGCTCTTTTTGCCATTTTTGATGTGGGGCAAGCCAACACCTATTACACCTTTAATGACTGAAGAGGAAACTTTTACATTTATGTCTCAAATACTCCATCCCCCTGAATATCACACTGTCCAATAACACAGTACAGATTAGGAAAAACCTTCCCTCTCTGGAGCTAGCTGGTAATGGGGCCTCTGCCACCTCAGAGCAGAGCTGGGTTTCTCAATGCACAGGATGGGGTGGGGGAGGTCATACGTGGGATGCTCTCATGTTCTCAGAGTCAGGTTTCCTCCCACAAGCCTTCCTGATGAAATCATAATGAAGTCAAGAGCTCCACCAGAGTTCTCTCGGTTCTCACAAGCTGATGTCTTGGAGGCCAAGAGGCCCAGCCTGTCCCAGGATCCCAGAACTTCTCTGATAAAAAGAGACTTCAGACACTCGTTCTTATGGAGGAAATGCGTCTCTATTACTGGCTTATAAGTGATGTCAAGGAAATTCTTAGCCATGGATAATAATGGGGCTTTGGGATTGGGGAAAGTTGGATTGAGTTCTAATTTCTCTGCTACTAAGAGTGTGACAACAGGACACTCAGACCCTTCACCTCTCTGTACCTCAGTTTCCTATGCTGTCAATGAGGGGAATAATAAAGCGCATCTCATAAGGATGTTATGACCCATACAGGGCACCACATAGAACTGATGGTACAAGGTGTGTGTTCATTCTATGCAGGTTCCTTATCCTTTGAAAATGCAAGTTTCCGCAAACAACTTACCCTGATGCCAAAAGTGTTAAGACCCATCATGTATTAAATAAACTCATGATGTTGAATAAAAGGAGCTAAATTTCACCAGTAGCATCCAAACTAGGAAATAAATAAGCATCCCACCATACACTGCTACGCGGTGTCACATAAAAAGATATAATGGGCCCTGGCTGGTGGGGCTCAGTGGATTGGGTGCCAGCCTGGGCACAGAAAGGTCGCTGGATTCATTCTCAGCCAGGGCACATACCTGGGTTGCGGGCCAGGTCCCCAGTAGGGGGGTGCATGAGAGGCAACCACATATTGATGTTTCTCCTCCCTCCTTTCCCCTCTGCCTAAAAATAAATAAATATAATATTTAAAAAATCTTTAAAAAGGAATACTTGTAGTGTGGCACTGAGATGTCCTGATCCTGAAGATTTACCATTGTTCCAAAAGCAGGAATACACAGAGAAATGTTAGGCCGAGGACAGAAACCCTGACATTTTACTGAGATTCCCCAATAGACACATAGTGCCACTTAGGTGAGTGAGCAGACCTGAAGAAAATAAACGAAAAGACTTCCAAGAGAAGAAGACCTGTTATCATTGTTTCAGTAATTGAGTTCACCACCTTCCATTAAACTGTCATGAGCTGGGGTTTGGCACAAATCCCAATGTAATGCACATCTGTGGGCTGAGGGAGTCGACTCAGGCACACATCGGAGTCTCGGAAGAGAGAGTGGCGTGCGGGACCCCACGCAGCATGTGCCGGACCCTATCTGAGCTCCACCCTTTTTCTCGCCCATCGGGGTCCCTCAGCCTGGGACACTTCGGGCTCAGAGAACTGGACTTAAAGCAACATCCACTCCCCACACACTGGCTCAGGGGGAAGGGAAGAACAAAAGTCTAAAACACGTACTGCCTGTGTTAAAAATGAAGACGGAAAAACTCTCACATAAGTGCTCTGCACACCTATCAGTCTGCTTGGGTTCTGCTTAGGCCCTCAGTGGGCTGGAGGGTGCCCACGCCCACTGGGGACCGGCAATCGGCTTTACCCAGTCCTCAGGTTTAATATTCTAATCTCATCGGGAAATGCCCTCAGAGACACACCCACGCATGGTGTTCCCTCTGGGCGGCCCGTGGCCTAGTCAGGCTGACAGAATATTAACCTTCCAGAGGCCTAGAAGGCAACCGTTCTGTATGGGAACATACACACGCCCGGGGCACCCTGAGCTGGGCCACCGCGGGTCTCAGTTCTGAATCAGCACCACGGACAGCACCCCTCCTGTAAGGAATGCCAGGCGCCACAGGGTGCTCTGTGCAGATGGAGCGCCCCCTGTGGGTGGTGAACAGACCGCTGCGGGGGCACAAGCAGCAGCGCGTAACTCGGTAATTGGCGCAGCATCTCCATACAGCGAGAGCGAGTGGGGTCGAGAACACCGTACCTGCGTCCCGTAATTCCCAGCACCACCTGCGGGACTGACGTCCCTCGGGACTGCCTGAGAGTCCCCACCTTGTCCACGCAGGCCCTTTCTCTCTGAGAACTCACCTTCCCGTCCACACAGGGAGAGGCGCACCAGCCCCAGCATGTGCCTCTCCCCTCACAGCCACCTACCTACGCAGCTGGAGTTGTCAGGTAACCTGCCTGTCTCCCAACCAGGTGTTGCTCTTCTCAAAGTGAAGGACTAGGTCTCTCCTCTGCACCCCTTTACTGGAAACCTCAGGGCACAGGGTAGATGTTTATGAATGCATGCACGCATGCATGCATGAGTGCAGTTTCCTCCTTCACCGCATGGGAAGGAGTTGACCATTCTTCCCTCTCAGAGGAACACAAGCTTCCGGGTTTCCAGCCCCACAAATCCTGAGCAGAGAAACGCTGACGTGGAGGCTGCCTGTGAGCACATCCGTGCATGAGACAGGGCACTGCTGTAACTTGAGCACCAGCCCTGCCACCCTGGACCTCGGTGTCTTCTGCAAACTGAAGAGGTGGAGCCAGAGGCCTCCCAGATCTGACGGCCTGTGAGTTACAGGTTCCTCTTGTGCTCGCACTTAAATTAGCCTGTGGTTTCCCCCTGCCTCTGTCTCCCCTTGTTCTGCAAACTGGGGGCCAGCAAAAGCAGACGGTCCTGGCCCAGCCCATCTGGCCTCAGAGATGCTGCATCGCAGTCCTGCTGGGAGAGGATGAGAGGATCAGGACAGGGGCCCTGGGGGGCGTGGGCCGCAGGTGGGACAGGCTTTGGGAATGCAGGAGTCAGCGATGGTGGGGGCCGGCTCCGCGCCCTCAGCCCTCCTCAGTGACCGCAGCCTGATTCCACGCCAGGTGGTCCGCCGTGGTGGCGGGAGGGGTGTGTGGGGGGATGGGCAGATACCTGAACTTCATGGCAGAAGACAGACGGCAGTATTTCCTATATAAAAGTCTCACAAATATGTGCAAAGCTGTAGTATTTAATGTAGCATGGTGGGATGATAAACAAAGAAACAAAAAAACCTAGAATATCCATCACACAATTAACTGTAAAGTGAGGTAGGGGCTCCTTTGGTGGGGCTGGGTTGGGGGGTACTGATGGGGTCCAGCGGAGGTCCGAGGGTGCCCGCAACACTCTGTTTCTTATGTATTTGTTTATTTGTAGAGAGAGGGGGAGGGAGGAAGAAAAAAAGGAGAGAAACATGGATGTGAAAAATAAAAATGGATTCGTTGCCTCTCATAGGCCCCAGACCTGGACCGAACCCACAATCCAGCTGAGCGTCAGGAACAGGAATTTAACCTCTGGAACGGGAATTTAACCGGTGACCTTCTGTGCAGGGCGATGCCCCACCCACTGACTCACGCCCATCAGCGCAAAGGAAATGCCTGTCTCTTTCTTCAGGAGCGTTCATTCGGTGGTGATTCACTGAGTTGTTCTTGTGGGGGCATTTCTCTGCGTGTGTCTTATGTTTCTCCCCCCAAAATGTTCAAGTTCACGGACATGCGTCTACGGAGTTGCTGCCCCACATGGGTCCCCAGCACTTTCTTGTTCCCCCTCCAGCCACTCAATGAAAAAGTAACTGGCTGTGAAAGGAGGTGCATGTCTCTTCGAGCAAATCCTTACCCTTCGGGAGGCCCGACCTCCCCCAGCGTGGCGGTGCTCGCTGCGGGGCCCTGCCACCACCTGCAGGGAGCAGAGCCTGCACGGGCGAAGCCCCGGGGCTGGAAGGCCCCGCCAGTTCTGGAGCAGCGCAAAGTGTGGCCGCGTGAGGTCCCAGTGAGGAAGACAGCACGACGAGGGGGAAGTGTTCATCTGTTTCAAAACTGCTCCTTCTGTTGGCACATTCTCCCCACCGCACCCCTGTGCACAGAGAATTGCAGCGCGTTTCCCACACGCCTTGCCTGGAGGTCTGCCCTTGATGTCCCGGGAGTGCGGTAACACACAGACTCCCTTCCCTCTGCTCCAGGGGCCGCTCTGCCCGGGCCCCGGAGACCCCACCTCCAACCAGGGGGTGAGTGACGCTCCGCCCCCATTGTACATCCCACATCGCTGCTCCTGAGAAGGAAGTCCCCATTCCAGAAGATGTGTAGTGTCCCCACTGGACAGTGACTCCTGGGGCTGTGTCCAGTGCTGCTGTGTGACCTTGTGAGTGGAGAGAACATGCCGCCACGGGACCACTGAGGGAGGAAGGATCCCTGGCTCCATCAGCCCCCTGAACGCAGGCCATCACCCATGTTCCCGAGTCGCAGCCCTGCCTGGAGGGACCTCCCCTCACACCTACAGCCTGTGACTAGGGGCTCTAGACAGAGGGACCCAGGGAGTACTTTGCACAAAGCGACTCCCCTTGTTCCATATGCCTGTTCTAGTGCCAGCACCAGTCTGTTTTGATTACAGTGGCTTTGCAGTATAGTTTGACCCCCGGTATTGCGATCCTCCCCAAGTATCCTTCTTTCTCCAGATTGCTGAGGCTATTTGGGGACACTTTGGATGGTTCCACATAAAGTTTTGAAATATGGGGGTGTTATTGTAACAGGAACTGTGTTGGATCTCTAGATGTCTTTGCGTGGTATGGGTATTTGAATGATTCTTCCCATCTGTGTATGCGGTATATGCTGCCACTTGTTTGTATCCTTCCTCTATTTTTTCTTCATGTCTTGTAGCTTTTTGAGTACAGGTGTTTTATCTTATTGGTTATGTTTATTCCTAGGTACCTTACTTTTGTGTTGCAAGAGTAAATATGGTTTATTTTCTTAGTCCTCTTTCTGATAATACATTATTACTGTATAAAAAGGCTGCCGGTATATGAATAAAAATTTTGTAGATTGTTACTCTGCCAGATCCATTTACTAAATCTAGGAGTTATTTTGTCGAGTCTTCAGTGACATCGATCAATGGAGCAGAACACAGCACCAAGAAATCAACCCACACCTTTATGGCCAATGAATATTTGACAAAGGAGGGGAGAGCGTACAAAGACGTTCAGACAGTCTCTTCAAAAAATGGTGTTGGCAAAATGAGGCAAATGCAGAGAAAAAATGACACGGGGCCACCAGCTTACAGCACACGCAAGATTTAACTCAAAATGGAGAGAATACAAGTCATGACATGGTAACAATCCTAGGGGAGACCGGAGGCAGTAACGTTTCAGACATCTCACAGAGCAATACTTTTCCGATGGATCCCCTAGGGCAAGGGAAACAGGATAAAATAAACCAATGCGACCACATCCAACTAAAAACCTCTCCATAACGAATGAAACCTACAGCAGAATGAAAAGGGAAGCCAATGTATGGGAGCAGATGTTGCCATTGATACATCTAATAAGGGATTACTTTCAAATAGATCGTGAACTTATGCAGCTCAACACCAGGGAGGGAACCATCCGTTTAAAAATGGAAATGGGTCTTGGCTGGTGTGGCTCAGCTGTTTGGAGCATTGTCACACAGCTACTCGGATGAGGTTTGATTCCTGGCCAGAGCACACACCTTGGTGGCAGGTTCGATCCCTGTTCCGGGCACGTACGGGAGCGAACAATCAGTATTTGTCCCTCACATCAATGTCGCTCTCACTTCCTTCTTCTGCCTCTAAAAGCCAGGAAAACTTTTCCTAAGTGAGGATAACATAAGTTTTAACAAATGTGCAAAAGACCTGAAAAGACCCTTCTTCCAGGTGGACATGCAGTTGGCCTACAGACATATGAAAAGATGCTCAATCCTTTCATTAGGCATCAGAGTGATGCCAATGAGAACTACAATGAGGTATCGCCCCATGCCCGTCACAAAGGCGACCATCTGTAAATCAACAGCCAACACGTGCTGGTGAGGATGCGGAGGAAAGGCACCCCAGTGCACTGTTGGTGGGAACCCAGGCTGGTGCAGCTGCCGTCGAACACAATACGGAGTTTCTTCAAAACATTAAAAAGGGAACTGCCTTTTGACCCAGGAAATCCTACTTCTCAGGAGATACCCTCGGAGTCCTGAAACGCCCATCCCATGACACATACACACCTATGTTCCTCACAGCATTATTCACAGTAGCAGGATCTGGAAACGGCCCTGGTGCCCATCGGTAGCTGAGTGGGGAAGAGCTGTGGCACCTTTACGCGACGGAGCGCTACTCGGCCTTGGAAAAGGAGGCGCTCTCGCCCTTGGCGCTGCACGGATAGACCTGGAGGGTATTGTGCGGCGCGAAATGAGCCAGTCAGACGGAGACAAATACCGTATGATCTCACTTATATGTGGAATCTAGTGAGGAAAATAACCTGATGAACAAAACGGAACAGGAGGCATGGATACACGCGCCAGGGCACCAGATGCCAGGTGGCTGAGATAAGGGGGACTGGACCAAAGGAGGTAAAAGTTTAACTATGCCCTGGCTGGTGTGGGTCGGTGGATTGAGCGCCGGCCTGAAATCCAAAGTGTCGCCGCTTTGATTCCCGGTCAGGGCACAAGACGGGTTGCCGGCCACGTCCCCAATAGGGGGCGCGCAAGGGACAACCAATCCCTGTAGCTCTAGCACATCGATATTTCTTTCCCTCTGTTTCTTCCCTTCTGTGAATTAAAAAAAAAAAAAAAAAAAAAAAAAAAAAAAAAGCTAAGGAACATATGCACATCGCGCTGGATGCAGACAATAGTGCGGTGAAGTCCATGGTGAGGTGGGGGCTGGGTGGAGGGGGCGCAAGAGGGGAATAGGGGCATCTGTAAGAGTGTCCACACTAAGAACACGAAGCGGCCCCCAGGGGGCGGGCGTGGAGGGAAGTAGGAGGTGCGCCCAGCTCCGCGGGGCGGGATCCACGGGTCCCTCGCCGTCCCTGTCCTCAGGGTCCCTGGAGTGGACGAGGCAGCCGAGGCCTGAGCTGGAAGGGCTGCCCCAGCCCGGGCAGTGGCCGTTCTCAGTTTCTGCTCTGATGAGCGACTCTGTTCTAACCTCATCCTCACCTTCCCGTCCGGCCATCTGTCACTATTGCAACCCTTAGTTCTAGTTTTTGAGACAAAGCCTGAGAACCAACGTCTCCCAGAGGGAACATGGCGCCGCCAGCCCCAGGGAGGCCTCGGCTGCTGGGGGGCCTGCCTTGGGGAGCGCCGGGCGGGGGGGCGTCGGCCAGCTCTGTGCTGAGAGGGGACGAGCTCCAGCTCTGAGCCTCCTCCTCTGTGGGCAGGGAGGCCCCACATCCCTTCCCAGTGTCTGCGGTCGCCCTGCAGTCCCCTCCCACCGCCCTTCCTCCTTTCACACCCGCAGGAGCCCGGAACCCTGCAGAGATGCTGCTGTGGGTGCTGCTGCTGCCGCTGCCGTGGGCCGGTCAGTGAGCGCGGGAGGGTCTGAGGGGGTCGGTGGGGGGGGGGTGCGGGGAAGGCCGCTGACCCTCTTTCCCCGCAGGGGCCCTGGCTCAGGATCCAGGATTCCAGCTGCAAGTGCCGGAGTCCGTGACGGTGCAGGCGGGCCTGTGTGTCTCCGTGCCCTGCACTGTGTCCTACCCCCAGGAAGGCTGGACCGAGTCTGACCCAGCTCATGGCTACTGGTTCTGGAAGGGCTCTAACATTAAGACTGATCCTCCAGTGGCCACAAACATCTGGAATCATAAAGTGCAGAAGAAGACCCAGGGCCGCTTCTTCCTCCGTGGGGATCCGCGGAACTCCAACTGCTCCCTGTACATCAGAGATGCCAGGGAATCAGATAGCGGACAGTACATTTTTCGGGTAGAAAGAGGTGATATGAAATTTTCTTACACAGCCTATGTACTCACCGTGCGTGTGACGGGTAAGGAAGAGGCTCCTGGAGGGGCCACAGGGAAGGTCCCGGTGGCCTGGGGGCAGCGCTGGGGGGGCCCCATCCTGGGAGGGGGTGGGGGTACCTCCCGCGGGGGCTCGGAGGGAGGAGCTGGACCTCGGCCTGAGGCTTCTCTTGGGCCGCTCCGGGGCCCTCCCTCCTGATCCCTGGTCCCCTTTCTCCTCCCCAGCCCTCAACCACACCCCTGACATCCTCATCCCGGGGGCCCTGGTTTCTGGCCGCCCCACGAACCTGACCTGCTCTGTGCCCTGTGCCTTTGAGCGGGACAATCCGCCCACCTTCTTCTGGACGTTGGCCACTAACTCCTCCCTGGTCCCCAGGAACTGCAGCACCTCAGTGCTCACCCTCACACCTCGGCCCCAGGACAACAGAGCCACCCTGACCTGTCAGGTGACCTTGCCTGGGGCCGGAAAGACCCAGATGAGGACCATCCACCTCAACGTGTCCTGTGAGAACTGGACCCGGATGCGGGGTCCCTGCCGGGGGTCCTGAGGGCAGTGGGGTGGGGGCAGGGCCTCAGACACTGGGCTTCGGGCCCTGAGTGCAGCCTGGCCTGGGCTCAGGGAGGTGCCTGCTTCCACCCTTTCCCCACTTAAGCAGCTTCTGGGGGCACAGAGCCAATGGCCACCCAACCTACCCACTGACCTCCGTGCACCTTCTCTTCCTGTCCCAGACCCTCCGCAGAGCGTGACTGTAACGGCCTTCCGAGGAAGCGGCACAGGTGGGAAGGACCCGTCATGGACTGCGGGGGCAGGGCCTTGTCCGCATCAGGGCCGTCTGGGTCCTCCCTCATGCTGGACTCACCCGGGGACCCCGCGCCTCCTTGTGGGTGAACCCACTGTCCCCTATTCCTCCTCCTCGTGGCCGCTGTGCACAGCTGCGCTGGCGGCCCACCCACCCCATCCAGAAGATTCTCCCGGCTCCTGTCAGCGGCTCCGGGAACAAGGCGCCACCCACAGGCAGATCTGCCTCTGGGGGCCTGACCCTCCTTCTCCTGAAGAGCCCTCCAGGCTCTCAGTTTAATTTCTGTCCGATAATTTAATCGATATAGTTTTGAACAAGTAGCATAGTCACATGCCCCACAGGTGAAAAGGCACTGACGTCTGTCCTCAGACGCCCAGTCCCCGCCGGGGATGGGACCCGTGTCCACATGTTGCCGCGAGCCTTGGTTTGCTCACCTGAAGGATCTGCCAGGTCCTGCGACATCAGTAGGTCCGACGCGCCCCCTCCCCCCGACTGTGGCCTGGTCCATGGTGTGGAGGGTTCTGTCGTGTGCACGTCGTCTATGAACGGAGAGCCCTGGGCTTCCCCTGCCTCTGCTCCCTACGCACGGCAAGGAGTTCTCTAGCGTCCACTCTCCGTGCTCTGTGTGCGTGCGCCTCTGTGGGATGAGTCCCTAAAATCAAAACACGGGAACCTCATGTGTCCTTCCAAATTTTGGGGGAAGTGGCCAAGTTGCTGTGCTCGGAAGGTAGGCAGGTCGCATTGCACCAGCGAGGGCGGAAGGCGCGTGTCAGCCTGTGCCTGGGTGTGTGTGTCTCCGCACTGCCGTCTTACTCCACGCTCCCGCTTCCCCTGACGTCTCTGTCCCCCTGACCCTCTGCGTCTGTTTCCCCAGCCCCCACGGTCCTGCAGAACGGCTCGTCCCTTCCCGCCGCGGAGGCCCAGCCCCTGCGCCTGGTCTGTGAGGCAGACAGCAACCCCCCTGCCGAGCTGAGCTGGATGTGGAGGAACTGGACCCTGAGCACTCCGGACCCCAGGGTCCTGGAGGTGCCCGGCGGGCTCCTCAGAGATGGAGGCAAACTTACCTGCCTGGCACAGAACCCTCAGGGCTCCTTGCACGTCTCCGTGGGCCTCCCTCTGCCGAGTGAGTGCACCAGGGGATTGGGGAGGGGCTGGAGGAGCACAGCACCCAGCAGTCCCTGAACTTCAAAGGGAGCTCAGCTCTGGTCTGGTCTGGGCCTGGCTGTGAAGCCTGACATTTCCCTGGGCCTCCAAGTGCCCCCGTCTTCTTCCTGGCTGGCCAGGACCTGGACTGGAACGTTGACTGGGAGGGAGACGCAAGAGGAAGGAGGTGGGTCTTGGACGGGAGAATGGGACTTGGGAAGTCCTTGCTTTTCAGGCTTGTATGAAGGTCAGGCCAGTGAGTAAGTCCTAAGCCAAAGAAACCTCCACAACAAAGAAAAACATCACCACAGTGCTGTATTTCTTTTGCATAAAAATGAATGCAAAATAAATTTCCCCATGACCACAACATGCCTATTTGAAACAAAAAGAGGCTGCAACCTAGGTCCAGCTCGCCTCACCAGCCTACCCCTACCCCCACCTCTACTTCGTTCCTGTATTTGCTTCTGGCAGAGGAGCCAGAGAACGGAAGTCTGGGGTCCCGCAGAGCATGGGAGGGGAAAAGACTGGTCCTCAGGTGGCAGTCGCCAATAGTTCAATCTGTCTGCAGGAGAGACCGGGCCCGGCGCGGTACTGTGGGCCCTCGGGGGAGCAGGTGTCAGCACTTTGCTTTTCCTGTTCTGTATCTTGGTCCTCAAGTGAGCACTGCCCCTGGCAAGGGAGGGGGAGCCCAGGGCTGGGGAGGGCGGGAGGCGTGGAATCCCGGAGCCCAGAGCTGGAGCCTTGTGGGGGGTCCAGAGCCTGAAGCGGGGCGGAAAGCAGGTCCCTGGCACGGGCCGGGGTCACAAACCCCTGGCTCCAGGAGAGGGGAGCCTGCATTCTCAGCCCGGGGAATGCCTCAGTCTCCCCCCAGCCCCTTAGGAGAGAACAGAAGGGGAGCATCAGGCTCTCCACGGCGCCCCTAGCTGGCCGGAATGAACCTCTCTCTGGTCTCTCCACGCAGAGTGAGGTCCTACAGGAAGAAAGAAGCGAGGGCAATAGCAGGTCCGGGGAACACAGGCAATGAGGGTGCAGTTGCTCCGGCGAGGACAGTCTCTCAGGTGAGTGACCTGGACCTCTCACCATCCAGCATCCCGTCCAGCATCCCGGACACCTCCTCCAGGATGGCCCCCTGGACTGCTCTGCTCAACATGGCCAAGGTTGCTGTCCTCATCTCTTCCTCCGCCCAGATCCACGCCCCGCCCCATGCTCACAGCCTGACGGGCCCCATTCCCTTTCTTTCGGGCCAGGAACGGAGGACTCACCGTCTCTCTGTTCTCCCTTTCTTCTTTCATGGCTCCAAGTCCACCACATCTTGTCCTCCTAGGAACAGCTGCCTCTGGTGCCCCTCCCCCCGCCTTGACCCCCTTTGTCACTGAAGCTGCTGAACTTCTTCCTGGATCCTCTCATTTTCCTGCTTTCAGTCAGTTTTGCTAACAGGGATTGTCTAAAGGCTGTCCTTCGAACATCTGTTTGCCCCTGTTGCCTAGATCAGAGGCCGGCAAACTTTTTCTCTTTTTTCTTCTTGTTAATCCTCACCCAAGGGTATGTTTATTGATGAGGGAAGGAGAGAGAGAAAGAGAGAGAGAGAGGGAGAGAGGGGGAGAGAGAGAGACACTGATGCAGGAGAGAACATCAATTGGTTGCCTTTTCGCACGGGCCCTGATGGGGAACCGAACTTGCAGCCTTTTCCTGTAAGGGACAATGCTCCAACCAACTGAGCCACCCAGCCAGGTTGGCTAAGTGTTCCTTTTAAAAAGATTTTATTTACTTATTTTTAGAGGAAGGGGAAGGGAGAGAGAAAGAGAGGGAGAGAAACATCATGTGTGTTTGCCTCTCACGCGCCCCCTACTGGGGACCTGGCCCACAACCCAGGCTTGTGCCTTGACTGGGATTCGAACCAGCAACCCTTCGGTTTGCAGGCCGGCGCTCAATTCACTGAGCCACACCACCCAGGGTGCACACTTTTTCTATAAAAGGCCAGATACTGAATATTTTTGGCTTTATGGGCATGCAGTCTCTGTCGCAGCCACTCAGCTCCACTGCTGCGGCATGAAAGCAGACATACACAAGCTGTAAATGAATGAGTATAGTGGTGTTTCAATAAAACTTTATTTACAAAAACAGGCAGTGGGCCGATTTGACCCACGGGCTGTAGTTTGACCTGGAGAACAAAGCCGAAACTCCTCAGTCTGCATCTCTGCATGTTCTGGCCACGCAAGCGCCCGCCTCTCCAGGAGGGCTGGGGTCAGGGTGACGTCAGTGAGGCCTTTGCCTCAGAAGCATAACTCAAGGGGGTGCCCAAAATCTCAGTAAACAGCTAGTGTTTTAATGAACAATTTTTCCTTCCTTTAAAACTTAAAAAAAAAATCTTTTTAATTGCATTTGACATTCAATATTATATCAGTGTTGGGTGTATGACATAGTGATTAGACGTTTATGTAACTTATGACGCGATGACCCCATAATTCTAGTACCTAGGCTGAGCCCACACATAGTTATTACAGGATTGTTGACCGTATTTCCTTTGCTGCGCGGCGCATCCCCAGGACTATTCTGTAACTGCCAATTTGTACTTCATAATCCTTTCACCTTGTTTCACCCAGTCCCCCAGCTCCCTTTCCTTTGGCAACTATCGATTTGTTCTTTGTTGATTGGTCTGTTTCTGCTTTACTTTTTCATTTATTTTGTCTTTGAGATTCCGCACATAGGTGAAATCATACGGTATTAGTCTTTCTGTTCTGACTTATTGCACTTAGCATACTACCCTCTATGTCCGCTCATGTTGTTGCAAACGGTAAAATTTCTTCTTTTTTTTTTTTTAGTGGATGAGTAATGCTCCATTGTATCTATATAACACATCTTCTTTATCCAGTTGTTTATTGATGGACACTTAGGTTGCTTCCATATCCTGAGTATTGCAATGCAAGATTTTTTAAAAAATCAAAATTAATAAGAAAAAATCCATGATGAGCCAAATATCAAAAATCTAAACAATGACAGAGTCAATAGACTGACGTCAGTTAAAAATTATTTAAGATCATAACTTAGTCAAGAAAAATAGGCAAAGACAAAAGCATTCTCAGTGGAAAACGAGAAAAACAAGGCAGTTAGTTTTGAAAATATTTTGTCTGTGTTTGCTTTTGGCGAAGCCCCAAACCCAAAATTATAGTACATTTTGGTTTGGGTACAAATAAAATATTGAAACTTAAAATAAAGTTATAGCACACTACTCTTTAGATTTTCAATATTTTTTTGGTTATTTTCATGTTCTGGAAAAGACCTGGCCTTTACAAATATGTAAAACATATATAATGGGCACATACATTTTTTTTTCCTGCCTCAGGGCGCTCTTACTAATCTTGGGTTTATTGAAAAGTTTGGTATTTTGGTCTCCATGGATTTTTTGGCATTCATTTGGATTTTAAAACCGTGCATTAAAATATTATTTCTCTCAAGTACAAGGTTTTTGGCACTGCCTTTCATTTTGCATTGATTCTAATCCCAGCCTCAGTCTCCTGCCAGCCTCAGCTTTCCACGCTACAAAAGCTCATTCCACCCACACGGGACTTTTCATTGTTAGCAACCATAACACGGCTATTGTTGCCTCTGGATCTTGCATGGGCCGTTCCTCCCTTCTCAAACATTCTTCCCTCCTGTTTCCACTTATGCATTCCTGTTGGCCTTTATCTGCCAATGTTAAGTATTGCACTTTACAGAGTGAAATAATTCTTAGCAGCAGAGTAAAATAATTCTTTCGTTTATTAACTCATTTAAGAAATATTATGGAGCACATACCAAGTGACAAGGTGCCAGGGACCATCTATGGAAAAAATTTGTTTTTTACATCTTGGGCTCAACAAAGTCTTATTCTAGGCAGAGGGATATGCCTAAACCAATCAAGCAGCAAATAGAATAGAATAGAATGTGAGAAATAGACACATACTTTGGCAAAAATGCAGGCCACAGGGAATAGGAGCTTCTGGGGAGATGGTTTGTGAAGACTATTTTGTAGTTCATTTGGTGAGGTAAAAAACATAACATACATACAGCACCTTAATTATTGTAAGCGTGCAGTTCTGCAACAAAGTTCTAGAATTTTTTCATCTTGCAAAACAGGAACCCTGCCCTCATTGAACAACAGCTACCCACTTCCCCCACTGTGCCAGCCCTGGGCAGCCACCATTCTATGCCCTGTCTGTACGGGTTTAACTTCTCTACCTAACTCCTATAATTGGAATCACACCGTGGTTTGACCTTTTGTGACCGGCTCACTGCCCTTAGCATTATGTCCTCAAGTTTTATCCATGTTGTAGCATGTGACAGAATTTCCTTCTTTGAAATTCTTAATGCCATCCCACCCTATCCCCTATGTATATATTCTTTACTTACTCGTCTGTCGATGGCTGCTGGGGTTATGTTCATCTCTTTGCTATTGTGACTAACGCTGCAATAAACATAAATGTGCAGCTATCTCTTTAAGATCCTGTTACCGGTACTTCTGGATAAATGCTCCTAAGGAGGTTGCTAGATCATATGGAAGTGGTGTGGCTCCATATCACTTCCCATAGCGGCTCTACCACGTCACATTTCCACCGGCAGTGCAGAATTTTCCAGCTTCTCCATATCCTTGCCAAGATGTTATTTTTTGTTTGGTTTGGTTTGGATTTTTACATAGTGGCCACACTAGCAAGTGTGAAGTGGTATCTCCCTGTTGCTTTGATTTGCATTTCTCTAAAGATTAGTGATACTGAGCATCTTTTCATGCTTTCTGGCCATTTGTATATCTTCTTTAGAAAAATGTCTCGATTCCGTGCCCATATTTGGATAACTTCTGAAAAAAAAATTTTTTTGAGTTGTGCAAGTTCCTTATACATTTTGGATATTAACTCCCTTATCAAATATTTGATTTGCAAATATCTTCCCCCATTCCATAGGCTGGCTTGGAGGTTTCGTTAGTGATGTTTGAGCAAAGGCTCAAGTGTCTGCCGTTGGATCTTGGATCGTAGGATCAAAGAGCCCTCCAAGCAGAGGGAGCAGCAGGTGCAAATGCTCAGAAGCAGGAGGCTGACCAGCGAATGGAGAAGCAACCAGCCCATGTGGTTAGACAGAGGGAGGCAAGGGCCAAAAAACAGGAAATGAGTTTGGAGGCATCAGTATGTATGTAAATCATCTCTGCAGGCATTTGGATGTTTTTGAGCAGAGGAAGGACATGATCCAGCTCTTGTTCTAACAGGAACCCGTGGCCTCTGTGAGCAGAAGAGGTTTTGTGGCATGGATGTGAGAAGGGAGGCCGCCGAAACATCGCTGGCAGGAGATAGTGGCTGGAACCAGGCTGCCAGGGGCGTGGGGCCTGATTAGAATCTGGGTGGATTGTGAAGTTAAGGCTCAAGGGATTTGCTCATAGATTGGGCGCATGGTGTAATTGACAGGAAGGGATCAAGGGTGCCTCCTAGATTTTTGTTCTGAGCAACCAGAAAAATAGAAGTGGCAATCGTTAAGGTTGAGACGATTGCAGGAGGAGCAGTTGTGGGGAAGAAAAGGAAGTTCAGCTTAAAGACGGTGCGTTTTGTGCGCTCTTTGGACGAGGGGATGGGGGTTTCAAGTATGCTGTGGTATCACAGTCTCGAGTTCCAGAGAAGGAAAGTGGGCTGCAGGTACAGATTTGGGAGCAACCCACCCGCAGATGAATGAAGCCCATCTAATGATTAAGATGACAAAGTGACACCGAAGAAAAGAGTCTGGGGCTGCTCTGATATTTAGGGGTCAGGAAGATGGCAGGCACCCGGCAAGAGCGTTGCCAGCAAGGCCGGTGGACCAGGAAAAAGTTGATGTCTTGCAGTTAAGTAAGAAAGGGCTTTTGTTTAGAGAAGTCAGGCCACTAAATTGCCTGTAGCTGCAAAGTCCAGAAAGATGAGGCCTGGAAGATGACCCCATGGATTTCACAGAGGTCACTGGTGTTCTTGATAATAGCAGTGTGGGAACTGGTTGTGTGTAGGTGTGTCTGTGTCTTAACTGAAACGATCAAGAGAAATGGGAGGAGCGAAAACATCAATTCTGTTGGAGCGTCCTGTTTTGCTCTCTAGCACCGGTCGCTTTCCACGGCATGAGTCCGTATTAGTTTCCTGTTGCTGCTGTAACAAGCTGCCGCAAAGCAGGTGTTTCCAACAGCATAAACTTATTGTCTTACAGTCCTGGGGTTGGGGGGGTCACGAATCTAAAATGGATTTCTCTGCGTTGAAATCAAGGCGTTGGCTGGTGAGGCTGAGTTCCCCTTGGAAGCTCCAGGGAGAAATGTATTTTCTTGCCTCCCCCAGTGTTGAGAGGTCCCCTGCTTTCCGAGTTCAGTGGCCCCCTCGTCCAGGCCAGAAGCACAGTACTTGGCTCTTCAAATCTCTCTCTGCCTCATTCTTTTACTTGTAAAGACCTTTGTGATCCCACTGGCCACAGCCAAATACTCCAGGATCACCTCCCTGTGTTTATCAATAGTATTAACTTAATTCCATCTGCAAAGTTCCTTTTGCCATGTTAATGTAACGTATTACAGGTTCCAGGGGTTAGCGTGGGACTCTCTTGCGGGGCCGTTATTCTGCTTATCCCAGAGCATCATTTCTTGTTTTAAAAAAGCTTATTTCCTTATTTTTTAAATGCTTTTATTTATTTATTTTTAGAGAGGGGAAGGAAGGGAGGAAGAGAGGGAGAGAAGCATCGATGTGTGAGTTGCCTCTCGCATGCCTGCAACTGGGGACGTGGCCCGCAACCCAGGCATGTTCCCTGACCAGGAATCAAACCGGCGACCTCTCGGTCTGCGGGATGATGCCTAAACCACTGAGCCACTCTCGTCAGGGCCAGAGCATCATTTCTTTGAGTGACTTGTCCTCCCTCTCAACTGTGAACTTCCCAAGGGCAGGTGCCATATCTGAAAAAAACAAAAAGGCCCCACCCTGGCTGGTGTGGCTCAATGGATTGAGCGCCAGCCTGCAAACCAAAGGGTCATCAGTTTGATTCCCAGTTGGGGCACACGCCTGGGTTGCAGGCCAGGTCCCCAGCAGGGAGTGCGTGAAATTCAACCACACATGGATGTTTCTCCCCCTCTCTTCCCCTCTCTAAAAATAAATTTTAAAAATCTTTAAATAAAAGGCCCTGTGATTCTCTGTCACTTACCCAGTGTCTGTCCACCATAACCACAAGTCGCAATTAGATATTTATTTGCTCCGCTGATTTTTTCTGTTTCTTTCAATTAAAGAGGAAGCTGCAAGAAGTCAGGGCCTGTGCCTGCCCTTTCCACCACAGTATATCCAGCCCAGCTCAGGGCCTCGCCCGTGGGGGTGGAGCAGAGGCTCTGTCAGACACCGGGCTTTGGGGTCAGAAAGGACTGGACTGGATCCTGGTTTTGCCGGGGACTTTAAGCGTGCTACGTACCTGGTTCAACCTCAGTTTCCCTCTCTATTAAATGGAGATATTAATACTATCTTCCTTCTGAGGTGGTTGTGGGAATTTCATGAGATTAGCAAGTGCCAGATAAGGTGCTCACTAAGTATTAACTCTCTGAGGAAAGCATGAATGAAGGGCATTGCAACAAAACGGCGTGCGAGATGAAGGCGGGAGGCCGTCCGTGGGCTCCCCTCCTGGATACGCTCTGCCTTTTCTCGCCCCCCGTTCCACTCTGACGTTTCGTCTGCCTCCCTCCGCTTAGGGTCCCCTGGTCGGATCCCAGCCAGGCAGCCTCGTAGACCAGCCTCCCCCAGCTCTGGCTGTCTCCTCCTTGAAGGAAAAAGAAGAGATTCAATATGCAACCCTGCGGTTTCAACCGGTGAAGCCTCGCGGACAGGAGGAGGTCCCTGAAAATGAATACGCCGAGATCGAGACATCCACGTGAGAACTGCAGAGACGTGGTCCTGGCTCGAGGAGCACAGGCCCTACAGGGCGAAGAAAAAACCAGGGGCCGATTTCTGTAGAATTAAGAGCCTTCTGGGTGATGAGTTAGATGTAGTGTGGAAAGAACACTGGCTTCAGACCCAAAGAGCTGTGAGTCCAAATCCACACTTTGCCCTTTTACTTAGTCAGCAACAGACAAATGCCTACCTCTCTGTGCTTCGGTTTTCTACCCTGTGAAAATAAATTGAGAAGCTTTGCCTGCCATTTGTGGTGAGAATTACAGGAATAAAATCGTATCAGAGTGCCTGGCTCCATGTGTATGCGGAATACATGCTGGGTTTCCGGGCTTTGAACAAGAAGTTCCCACCCGGAATTTCTCCTGACTCTGGAGGTAACCGGCATCTGCCCATGCACGCTGAGGTCCCGCCCCCTGGAATATCCCACCCAGCCTGCATCTGCCCCTGTCTTTGAAAGTGGGGCTCAGGGGATAAACTCCCGGGTTAAGATGCGAGTCAAGCAGGAGCTCATGATGTCTCCCCATAAAGGCAAACCATTGAGAAAGGTGCCCAAATTGATCCCATGACTGTCTGATCAACGAAACAACATGATCTGAAAATTCACCTCCAGCAACCAAACGAGGGAAAGAGTAAGTTGTAACAGTCATTTCATAAAGTTGCCTTGATGGGAAGAAATCAAAGGATTGGGTGAGGCAGGCCTTAAACATTCCCTAAACCTGTACTCCAGTCCGTTTAGAACAGCACCAAAAACATAGGGCTCCAAAGAATAACTTTAAAAAAATGCAATATGTCTGTACTAAAAAATACAGAACATTATTGGCAGGAATTAAAGAAGGTATAAAGGAATGAAAAAAATATATACCATGTTTATGGATTGGAAGACACAATATTGTTAAGATGTCAGTTTTCTCTTACTGACTTAAAGTAATCTGTGTGTGTGTGTGTGTGTATACACATGTATACATATATATAAATATAAATCGACAAGTTGGATTTGAAAATGTCTATGGAAATGTAAAAGACCTAAAATAGTCAAACAATCTTGAAAAAGAACAACGTTGGAGAAATCAGCCTTTACTATAAAGCTCGTGTAATCAAGAGGTATGGTATGGAACAGGGGAGAGAGAGACAAACAGAGAGAGGGAATTTATTTGAATAGCATCACGCCTATTTAATTGGGAAAGAACAAAATTTTTAACAAATGTCGGTAGAGCAAGTGAATCAAGTTTTAGAAAAATCAATCTTATAAATTATGCAATTGGCTCACGTAACTGGAATTCTATAGTATGTACTTTTTTTTTTTTTAAGACTTGGCATTGTATGTTTTGAGGTTTATTCGTGTTGTTGTGCATGTCAGAAGCATGGAAGCACAAGCATGTTGTGCTTCCCTTTGTTGTTGGGTAGGATTCCATTGTGCAAGCATATCACAGCTTCTTTACTCATGGTTAGTGTTAGGGCTAGGTTTAGGGCTGGGGCTAGGGTTAGGGTTAGAGTTCAGGCTAGGGCAGGGGCTGGGGCTAGGGCTGAGGTAAGGCTAGGTTTAGCATTAGGTCTAGGGCTATGGCCAGGTCTAGCATTGGGGTCAGGTTTTTCTATTGATGATTATCTGCTTTTTTCCAGTTTTTGATGATTACAAATAAAACTACTGTAAGCATATTCGTACATGAGTGTTGATGTTGTGTGAGGAGACGTTGTGTGAGGAGACGCTGTGGTCAGAGCTACCTGTTGGGAGCTCCAGGGTACCTCTCTCTGGGACCTCTCCGTGGGGACCAGTGTCCAGCAGGCGGCTGGACAGGGGTTTCTGGAACTCAGGAGGAATGTGGGGACTGAGGATGGAGAGCGGGAAACTTCAAGGAGTCCCATAACCCTGACCATGAATCCCCGCTGTTGTGGGTGGAAGTGTGTCCTCACCTCTAATACCTGTGAATGTGATTTTAGGTGGAGATAGCGTCTTGGAGACGTAATCAAGTTATCATGAGGCCAGATTAGATTAGGTGGGAGCCTATATCCAGCCACCAATGTTCCCGGCACAAGGAGGGAAATGTGGATGCAGAGATACATGTAGGGAAAAAGGCCATGTCACAATGGAAGCAGAGACTGGAGTTACAATGCTGCAAAGCAAGGGATATGCTGAGGGTTTCTGGCAACCACCAGAAGCTAGAAGGGGCAAGGAAGGTTCCTCCCCGGAGCGTCCAAGGCGGTGAGGCCCTGCTGCCATTGGTCTTCTAGCTTCCAGAAATGTGAAAGAGTACATTTCTGCTTTTTGAGCCACCCAGTTTGGGGCCACTTGCTACAGAGGCCCTAGGAAACTGAGACATTTGCTTAGCACCTGCTGCGCGTCAAATCTTCGCATAACCTGTCTCAGTCCTCACGTTGACTCCTGAGAGGGTCGGCACTGTCCCCACATAACAGAGGAGGTGTCGGCGAGCTGCTCGAAGCCACATTGGGGTGCTCATCAGCAGGACCTGGAGGTTTGCCTGTGTCCAGGCACCAGGTGCTTCGTGAACATTCCAACAGCCAAACAATGACCGCTGCAGCTGCCCGGCTGGCTGTCCCCTCCTCCGTGGATTCAGCCGTCGGGGAAGGAGTTCCGCTTCCCCCTCGCTCTCACTCTCTCCTTCCCTGCGTCTTTCTTTCAATCTTTCCTCTTCCCTTTCTTTTCCTTTTCCTTGCCTTCTCTTCTCTTTCTTCTCTTGTAACTGCCATAGTAATGAGCAAATTTGTTAGCTATTTTTGGGCAAATCCATAAAGACGGCTCCGCAAAAAACTTCCAGACATGGCGGTACGGAGTCTGAACTCACGTCACGCCCTTTTAACTTTATTTTTTTCCTGATTATAAAAGCAAGTTATATACTTTCTGAGAAAAAGCATTTTAGGATACACAGTAAAATGTAAAGAAGGAAATTAAGAGAGAGCATTGTTAATAATGTTTTCCACAATTTTTGTACAGGTGTGTATTTAGACAGTTTTATGTATACACATAAATAAAACTGTGGCAAACACATATACACTGTACATACTATAGCTACATCAATAAATTAATCCATACTTTTTATAGTTACGGTCCTATTCAGATGCTGCTTTGCATTAGCATTTCTAATTCAAGTTGTGAGCCTTTTCTGCGTCGATAGGCACCTTTTCGCAGCCCTGTTCCTAACAGGCGACAGATCAGCTCAACATGTGCTGTGCCCACATACGCAATTCCCGCCTATTGGGCATTTGTAGGCTGCGCCGTTTCCCTGTCACCGGCAGGGCTGAGTTGGGACCTCTCTGCAGCATCTCTGATGGACCACGGCGTCGTCGGGTTGAGGAAGCGGGGCGTTAGAAGCACACTTGCTGCTGGCGAAGAGGCGTCAGAATTAGAAGAGCACGGAGCTCCGTGCATGACCCGCCCCAATCTGCCGCCCATTGGCTGGCTCTGATCGACAGCTGGAGCGGCCAATGGGCACTCTGCCTGGGATGCCACACTGCAGGTCGTAGGCGGGGTCTCCGGACCTGTTCCAGGAGCCTCCATCTCCCACCGCCAGTGTGACGGTCCCTGTCCCCTCTCTTCACTGTCTCCTATAAAAGTAGCCAAGTAGCCTAGCCCGCCTTTTGGGGGAGACTCTCAGCCTTTCTCCATCACCCCTCCCTTACCTCCTTGACCATCTGGTCTTGTCCTCCAGGTCTGAGGTAGACACTCACAGACCCCGGCTTGTCCTATTGGAAGGAATGAGGGAAGAAGGCACAGCTCAGGTCCGTGGGACACGGAGGGAATGCAGGGGAGTCCTGAGTCAATGAGGGGTCAACTCCTTCTACACAGCCCTCCTGGGTGAGGGACCCCAGGAGGAGGAGGTGAGGGATCGAGGGGCTGAACCTCTACACCAAGAGTCCTCAGCATCCCACACCCGTTTTAAAAACTTCGGAGGTCATAAGGCCACTGGAGGGAGATGCCATGGGGCAGGGGACGGGCGGCGGGAAAAGAGGCTGGGTATACCTGGGGAAGGGGCGGGCACTCCCCCGCCTAATTACTGATGATGATGATCATTTATTTCACGTCTATTACAATATATTCCAGGTGCTATGGTAGATGATTTATAGAAATTATCTTGAGCCCTCCCAACAGTTACCCAGGTAGATACTTTAACCCTATATTTCAGGTGAAGAAACAGGAATTCAGAGTGGTAACGTCACTTGTCCAAGGTCACACAGCAAAAAATAAAAAAATAAAAAAGAGAGAGAGAGAGAGAGAGGTCAATGTTCCAGACCTGGCCTCTCTGATTCCCAGCCCCCTGCTCGCTGGAGAAGGTGTCCCTCAGAGGGAATGGGACAGTGAAGATGTTGGGTTGACTCTTGGTGTGAGGACAGGGGTTAGGCCTGGCCAGGGGGCTTCTTCCAGGATGTAGAAGAAGAGGTGAACCAGGTCTCCTGGAAACATTCTTAAACTCCCTAGAGTTGATCACAACCAGCTTAGGAAGTTTACATTGAATGAGGATGACAGCATTAATAACAGCCTCTAAGATTCTACTGAGTGCTTCCTACGTGCCAAGCCTTGCTCCGAGGCCATTATCAGTAATGGCTTATGTCACCCCCATAGCTGATATCCCTGTGAGGCTGGTACCAGGATTAGTCCCATTTTTAGAGACAGCAAATGAAAGCACAGTGCGCTACCTTGCTGGCTGTCACACTGATGGCCAATACTGTAACCTCCTTGGTGTAGAAACCATACAATGGTCACGAAGAGGCTCACTATTGCCCTGGCTGGTGCGGCTCAGCAGATTGAGCGCCGGCCTGCAAACCAAAGGGTCACTGATTCGATTCCCCGTCAGGGCACATGCCTGGGTTGTGGGCCAGGTCCCCAGTAGGGGGCACACGAGAGGCAACCACACATTGGTGTTTCTCTCTCTTCTCCTCTCTCTATAAATGAATAGATAAATAAATAAAATCTTTTCAAAAAGCCCACATAGGCTCACGATCAAAATACTACAGTAATAAAAAAGGACGCATCTTCTAAAATCTTCACCGTCATCCTCGCAACCAATACCACGACCACCAGCGTTGCTGTCATCATTGTCCCCGTGGTCACCATGATCACCTCTATTATAATCATTGTCACTGACGTCACCATCATAACCAGGTTCACCAGAATCACTACCCTCGTCACCATTACTACCACTATTCTTATCATTTTCCTCCTCCTCCTCCTCATTATCAACATCACCGTCACCAGGGCCATTTCTAACATCCACTACAGTGGTCCTCAACGAGGGCCACTTGCCCCTCCCCCCCCCCGTGGGCCCTTTGTAATGCCCAGGGTCATTTTGGGGGGTTACGGTGGTGGGTGCTACAGACGTCAGGTGGGTAGAGGCCAGGGATGCTGCTCAATCTCCTACAGCACAGAGGACGGCCCTAACCCCTCACAGCTGCAATAACTACCTGACCCTAAATATCGACAGCGCTGTGGCTGAGAAACGCTGGGCCAGTGTGCCAAGAACGTTGCGAATCCCTTCATCCCCCCAGACGTGCATCTAACCCTCCCATCACCCTTCAGGGCAGGTGTTACCCTCCACACCTTCCACGTGGGGCTAGAAAAACGTGACCGGGGACGTGATCTGCTCAGGACCCCCCAGCCCGCTGGAGGCAGCGCTGGCGCTCAGCCCCAGGGGTCAATCGTCACTCCACCCAAGCGCCTCCCCCGGTGCGGCTGGCCTCCACTGCACTCGGGACCTGGTGCCGGCCACGTACCAGATACATTCTCACACGTGCCCTGCTAGGCAGACCGCGATATCTACATTGTAAACGCGAAGGAACTGGGATGACGAGAAGTTCCTGGAGGAAACCCTACTGATATTTTAGAGATATGGCTGACTGTAACCCTCCCTCCGTCCTGGTCAGCTTCCGGTCCTCAAGACCTAGGTGTCTGCCCCAGATGGTCCCTGACAATCCGCTTCCTGGCTTGTCCCTTCCCCCTTCCCCCTGCCTCCCCCTCTCATGGGAGTGCTGGCTCCTGAGTCCCATACCAAACCAGTGCCCCCCCCGGGACCCAGGGCAACGGGCACCTGCTGGAGGAACGATTGATCAGAAAGTAGACCAGGATTCCGCAGACGTAGATGCCACCCAGGACTGTCATCACGATGAAGAACACCACCAAGGGTCCTGTGATGTAGAAATCTGTTCTAATAACAGGCATTTTCCCTGGAAGGAGAGGATACGTGGGCATCAGGACCGCCATTGAGCCTTCCCTTCGCTCACCCACACACCTGTTCTTCAGAGAGGGACCGGTACCTGCTATGGGCCAAGTGCTCTCCCGGGTCATTAGGGATTCAGCAGTGAACTAAACCAACTTTCTGCCCTCACGGAGCTGACACAGTCGCTGGGAAGTGGACAGTCCACAAGGAAGCAAAGAGATGTCTACTATTGCAGGCAGCACTAAGTGCTCCGGAAAAGAACAGACCCACGTCCAGGGACAGAGAGTGACAGGGCAAGGGGGTGCTCTGGTTACACAGGGTCCTTAACCCATGGCACAGACGGCCCAGACATTCGTTGAGCCGCAACCGTATGCCAGGCACCGTGTTAAGGACTGGAGACAAATGGTAATCACAGAGCTCGCCCCACCTCTGCCTCCTGAAGCCCGTCGTTCAGGGGAGCAGAAAGGCACAAATGACACAGGAGCACAAGTACTGAACACACCGTGTCCAGCGCCGAGTAGGTGCTCAGTCAACAATGTGGTGGGACCTAAATCGATGTCTTGAGCTGACATTCGTATCTGCTCATGGCTTTCTCTGGGGATCGCCAGGACAGAGGCTTTCTGTGCACTCCCTTGCCCGTGTCTGCCTTCGTTCATGCAGCAGCCTTGGCCTGCAGGGACCCTTATTATCCTGACCCTACAGATGGGAAAACTGAGGCTCAGAGAGGCGAAGCTGTTTGCCCCCGTTTCTTCTCTTTTCTTTTCTTTTTTTTAAATCCTTACCTCAGGATATGTTTATTGATTTTAGAGAGAGAGGATGGGAGAAGGAGATGGAGAAGGGGAGGAAGGGGGAGAGAGAAACGTCGATGTCAGAGAGAGACAGTGACGGGTTGCCTTGCGTATGCGCCCCAACGGGGGATCGAACCCACAACCTAGGGATGTGCCCTGACTGGGAATCGAACCCGCAGCCTGTTGGTGCAGGGGACAATGCTCCAACCAACTGAGCCGCCCAGCCAGGGCACCCCTGTTTCTGGAAGACAGGCAGAAGCAGAGCTAGGATTTGAACCCCGGCCACCAGGTTCCAGGGTCCCTGCCTTCTACAGCCCTGCATGCCCGCTCCCTCCCTGGACACATCAGGGTCTCCCCTTGAGGCAGCAGAAGAGTGTGCGGCTGTTGAAAAGGCTCTTCCCCCATTTACTAATTAAGCCTCACACCCATGACAAACCTCTGCGTCCTCCGCACCCCCTCCCTCTCATCCTCCCCGCTCCTCATCTCGGAGCCAGCCCAGGGGGACGGTGAGGGCGCAGGCTGTGGGGCCAGCCTGTCAGAGTTGGAGTCCTGCCTCCTCAGATGATGAAAACCTTGAAGAAAGCACCCCGACTCCCCCAAGCGTCCGTTTTCTCACCTATAAAACGAGGCGACACCCGTAAGAGGTACTTTCCCTGGAGGGAGGCCCTAAGGGGCACACACACAGGTCAGAAGAGGGGCTGGCACACAGAAAGGGCTCAGTCAACACTGGCTCCCTTATCTCCTTGGAATTCACCTCCACTCTGATCTGCGGACTGGTGGGGGGGCACTTCCTAGAGGAGGGAGCTTTGGGCTCGGGCCTCAGGGGACACACACAGCCACGGCCCACGTTTACGAGCCTCAGGGCACAGGACTCCGCTAAGCCACGCCCGAAATCTCCACCCACAGAAACTGTACGGTAGGATTTCACCCAGCCTTCGCGAGCAGGGTGTGGCAAGGTGGGGATGGCCTTCCTGAGGGCAGCCGGGCAAACGCAGGGAGGTGGGGGGATTCAGAGGGAGTGAGGGCCAGAGCGGGAGCAGCTGCACTCACAGGGCGTCTTGATGCGGATGTCCTTGTACAGGGTCAGCTGGGTCACTGGGTTCTCCACGATGCATCTGTATCTGCCCATCTGCTGCCAGGCCAGACTCGGGAACTTGAGGCTCGGCTCTGCACTCAGGAAGGAGCCATTGTGGATCCAGCGGTACTTAGAACCCGGGAAGGATGTGGAGCTGCAGGTTATTTGCACCTGGGAGCCGATCTCAGCGGACAGGTTGTCGATGATCACAGAGGACTCACTCCTCAGCGTCACTCTGTCAGGACCATCTGCAGAGACCAGAGCTGTGCTTCTGACCCCCTGGGGTCCTGTCACCTTCCCTAAACCCACAGGAAGTCCTCCCCCAGGCAGGAGGTACCCCATTCTGTACCCCAAACGGACCCCTAGACCTACCCTAGGCAAGGCAGCGGGGCCAGTGACAACGACAATAATAATGATGTCTCCACTTATCAAGCATGTACTATACAGGCCCGTCCCCGGGTGGTCGTTTACATCACCATAAAATAGGTGCAGAATAGAAACCAATGTCTCACAAATGCATCACACCAGCTGCACACCGGGCACTGTTCTAAATATTTTAAACATTCACTGAATTCCCACAGCAAGCTATGCAATTGATCCATTTTATAGATGAGGAAGGTGAGGCTCAGAGGGCTCAGGTTTAACAGTCCTGTACTGACCCGCAAAAGGGTGAAGCAAGTCCCCCTCGGGCCCAAGCAGAATTTCCCCAAACAGCTGTAGCCCCTGGGGCCTGAGGCCTGGTTCAAACCTCCAACCAGCAAGCAGTGTGCAGAAGGCAGAAATTGTCCTCTCCCGTATGTCCAAAGGACTAACGAGCCAGAGCTGGCTTTGAACCCAGATCACGCTGGCTGCAGGCTGACTTGAGATGTTGTCTCTCTCTGGTTCTGCCTGTCTTATTCCTACATCCCTGGAAGACCCTAAGCCCACCCTCGGCTTCATACCCATGACCCCAGACGACTTACAGGCCACAGTCAGATGGACTATTTTACTTGTTTGAAGATCCCCAAAGTGGGTGTTTATCCGACACTGAATTGTCTTGTCATAGCGTTCGACCCAGTGCATGATGAGGGTCTTGCGGTCTGGGGAAATGGTCACCTGGTCGTTGCTGGACACCTGTAAGTAATTCAAGTACCACAAGACTTGGCTGGCACTGGTGTTGCAGAAGGCGACCACAGGATCCATGTTCTCTGCCACTACAGTGGCGTTGACCAAGAGGTCAGGGTTGTCTTCCAACTCTGTGTGGAAAGGAGAAGATTAAAAGTGGGGTCTGGGGATATGATAGGGAGAAACCAAGAGCTGTCAAATGGGGTCTTGGCAGGAGAGCATCCCTGGAGAACTAAGAGCGACAGAAAAGTAGGGAGTGGGCGTGAGGTGTCTGACATGCGGGCACTTGCCCGAGCCCATCAGCCTACGTGCTGACCCATGGCTGTGGCGTCCCCTGCAGTTCCGGTGACTGTTTGGCATAAGCTTGTGGCCGCATGGTTGTTTCTGAACCCCCAGCTCAGGACATCCCACCCAAAGGGCTGCATGTGAGTAGATTTCACAGGGATAGGTGGTCTTCGGACTCTCCAAAATAATTGCCCAGAGTCCCATTTACTTTACCAATACTCCCTCCAACTTTGTAACAGACCACGATTGTAGCTGTTACCCCTGTTCTGCAGGTGAGGAGGCTGAGGATCACAGGGAAAAGACAAAATGTCAAAGCTACACAGTGTGCACAGGTGGGACTTGTGACTAAGCTATAGGATATGGCAAAAGCAATAGCTGTCACACCTATCATTACCTTGTGTTGTGTGAGACTTCGTAATAGACTAGAGAGAGAGAGAGAGAGAGAGAGAGTTTGGCTAACCTTGAGGAAGCAAACAGCCATAATGTGAAACACCTGTGCACAGAGCCACGCTTCAGATTACAGCCACAGCCCACATCTACGAGCCTCGGAGCAAAGGACTCAGCTAAGCCGTGCCTGAAATCTTGACACACAGAAGCTGTACAATAGTAAACTGGTGGTGTTTTCAGAGGCTAAGTGTGTGGCTATTTGTTATGTTGCCCTACTGATAGAAAACTACTTCCTAACAGTAGGACTGGAGCCCTTGAAGGTAGCGAGTGACCCATCTCTGCAGGAGAAGTTAGACAGACTCCCAGGGTTGTCCGGACGTGGGTGGGAGACTCGGACAGAACAATCTCCAAGGAACCTCACTCCCAAAGCCTCCAGGCCCAGCTCTTGCACTCAGAAAGTGCAGCAACCTGTCAACTCACTGTGAATCTCCAGCCAGCCAGTTGCTCGTTGGGTGTCATTGACGAGGTTCACCCGCACAGTGTAGTTCCCTGTGTCATTCAGCATAGAGTCGTTGATCTCCAGTGTACCCGTGTTGGTCACATTCTCCCGGCCGCTAAACATGGGCCCCAGACGACAGGAATTGGAGGGAGGTTGGTAGCTGACAATCATATTCTCTGCATGGTCGTTTGTGCCCCGGTGCCAGCTGTATTCCTGAACCCCTTCAGGGACGTTCTTGAGTTCCAGGAAACTTGGAATGCCCTCGAGCCCTATGAATGGGTTGATGGAGATTTGGCCGGAGGCCTGGCAGATCCCATAGGCCAGCAGACTGACTGAGGAAGACAGAGAGAGAGAGAGAGAGAGAGAGAGAGAGAGAGGATGATTTACACCCTCTAGCCAATGATCTACAGAGACATTGGTGGACACACCAAGGGTTCTATCTACTGAGTGACTCCCCAGCCTGCCCTCCTCTCTATCTGCTCAGCCCCTGCCCTGCTCCATTCTTTCCTCTTTGTCTTCAAGCCTGGACTCTTCCCTAGACACTCAGCCTCCAGTCCTTCCTCACATGACAGTTATGTGGATCCTTACGAAGGCCCAAGTTGTGGCCCTGCTCCCCACCTACCCAGTACCTTCCATGACTCCTCATGGCTCTCATGATGAAGTTCAAACTCTTAGAGCAGCTTTCGAGAAACGCAGGGAGAGCTGGTCTTTTGGACTCATCTAGACTCTTTCTAGATCACATCCCATCACCTCCTGGACTCCCTCATTCGTTCATCAGGAGATCAAGCATCCACTCTGTGTGCCCCAGTCGCACATACAGCTCCCTGAGTGCACCACACTATCTCCTGACTTCAGGCTTTCACACATACTGTTCCCCATTTCTGGCACACTGATCCCTGTTTCCCTCTTGTTGACTCACTTCCACTCATCCCTCAGTTCTCAGCTTTGACGTCTCCCTCCTCTGCTTGGGTCAGGCAGCCCCGCAGTGTTGCCCCAGCCTCCTGGGGTCCCCGCACCCTGTCCCCTCACTCCAGGTTATTGCACTGTGGTGACAGATCCGCGCCGGCACTGGGCGCGCACCCCAGGAGAGCAGCCCTAGGACAGGCTGGAATGCAGTGGGGGTCCTCGGCATGATGCTACGGGGGGATAAAATGCCCCCAAGACTGTCTGCACATGTCCTTGATTTCGGGTCTAAGTTCAGCGAACGGAGGTGGGCACCGACTGTGTTGTGAACCCTGAGCCTTGGTTCTACTGAGGAGGCAAAGACACCTGAGGACCCCCTCCCCCTCCAGGTGTGGACACTGGAGGTGTTCAAGGACAGCACGCAGGGCTGCCAGTGGAACCTGAGAGTTGTGTATGTCTGGGAGATGCAGTGGGTGCTGAGGGGCTGGGAAGGGGTCCAGGTGCAAAGGTTGGGGAGGGGATCAGGGCAGATGAGGCTCCCAGGGGAAAGCTGCGTGTGTGGTGTGCCCATCTCTTGCAAGTCCTGGCGAGGGTCCTGTCCCCACCCCTCCCCCTCCAGTCCCGCTAGGTCAGCTCTCTCTTACCCGCAAGGGCCAGATCCCTCCAGGGGCTGTATCTGGGTCTGGGCAGCTGCATGACTTCAGGCGTGTCCTTCCGGTGGGGGTGTCTCTCCAGGGGTCCGGCAGCTGCCTCTGCCGCACCTTCACCCACCTGCGTCTCTGGCCTGGAGCTGCTGTGTCTCTATGCCCCGCCTCCCCGGTTGGACTCTGCACCACCGGTGGGAGGAGCAGGGGAAGAGGACGGAAGGTTGTCAGTCATTACCTTTATGACTTTATGTATGTATGTATGTATGTATGTATGTATGTACGTATTGCTTATTTACACTATTCTGTCCTGGTCACAAAAACCAAATGGAACCAACCCATCACACAAAAACAAAAAGCCAAACACCATACGCTCACTTGTACGCAAACTGGAGGATACCAAACTGCGGGACAAGGACAAGACGGGGGACTTTGGGAATGGGGGTCTTGTTTGTTGTTTTTGTTTTTCCCAAGCAGGGCCGAATGTTCCAAGGACAACCGGCGGCCTTCCCCCGGGTGGCGAGTAGGCGGTGTCCCCCCCGGGCAAGGACCATTCCTGCGCCTGGGCGTTTCCATGGGCGCAGGGCAGGCTGCTACCTGCCTGGGCAGAAACACGTGGCACAGTTGGTGCGGGACGTGCAGGCAGAGGGAGGCGGCGGAAGGGTCTGGGGCTGCGCCCAGACGTGACCACGTGGCTGCCTGTGGAGAAGCTGGGAGCCAGAGGGTGGGCAGAGGGAGTCAGAGAAGGCGGGAGTTGGGGGCGGGGAGACCACACCCCGGAGCGTGCTATCAGCAGTGTCTTTCAACCTGTAGCTGGGAATAGGAGCGCCTTTCATTTTCATACCAACAAATACAACATTTGTAATGGCAAAAGTAAAGCATAGGCTGTAAAAATAAAGGGGGGGAGTTCATTTTTATGTAAATGTATTTATTTTTATTTATTTATTTTTAGAAAGAGAGAGAGGAAAGGGAAGAGAGAGAAGCATCCATTCGTTGTTCCAATTATTATTTTTTTAAAAAAACAAATCCTCACCTAAGGATATATTTATTAATTTTTAGAGGGAGACGAAGGGGGAGAGACAGACACTGCTTGGTTGCCAATAAGGGATCGAACCTGCAACCTTTTGGTGGATGGGATGATGCTCCGACCAAGGAAGTCAGGTGGCCAGGGCTGTTTTCCCACTTACTTATGCATTCGTTGGTTGATTCTTGTATGTTCCCTGACTGGGGATTGAACCTGCAGCCACGGCCTGTCGGAATGACACGCCAACCAACTGAGCCAGCTGGTCAGAGTGTTAGTAAAACTCTGTTAAAAAAAAAAAAAAGAACACTATCTTAATAGTTAAATTATTCAAAATGCTTTGTTATGAATCTTTATAATAAATAAAGATTAGATAAATATTTAAGTCAGTGTCTAAATATACAAAAATATGTATACCTGATACATTTTTACGTTATAAATATAAATAAATAAAATATTTTATAAATAGAATAAATATACAATTATTTATCATGATTTAATTAATGCTTTTAAAAATCACCTGCCATAACTTAATATATCAAAAACTTGATATAACTCCCTGGAGATATATCAAGGTTTTTTCTCTGAATCTTTTCAGTTCTGATATTTTACATATATTTATACACATACACATAATTTTACCAAAGTGGAAACATACCATTAAATATCCTTCTTCATTTGGGCTTCTCCGAAGTTAGGCCCAAGTCGAGTCAGAGTTAGGTAAGTGACTATATGCCTCTGAGGGGCTGGTGGTTTATTAAATATCTCCAAAGTCTTCAAAATAAATCCATATGCCAAACACATCTGTGTTTAAAAGGAAAACGGTGTACTAGTTACCACGGAAGGTATTTAATGGGTCGTTCCCGGCACTCAAGTGTAAGTGTTGTCTCCAGAAGACATGCGGAGTTGACCGCGGAGTTGGCTTTGGCTCAACTGAAGCCATTGGCTGTGGTCCCCTCCCCCATACCCACATTGCATCACTCCAAACTCTCCTCCATAGTCACTTGTCCTGGGATGCCGGCTCTCTCGCCCTCCTCTCTCGCTTAGTATACAGGCCCTTGGGCATGCCAGCTGTCCTCATCCTACGGTGCCCCACTGTTTAGGATTACATTCAGCTGAAAGAAACCAAAAAATAATAAACAAGGCAGTCATTGATTTCTCTCTCCTCCAAGGAGCCTGGTGGTGGGCAGTCCTGGGTGAGTTGGGGAGCTTCGTGATAACAAGGAGCCCAGGCTCCCTCCATGTTGTTGCTCTGTGATCCCCGTGGCTCCCAACTTCTGATCCAAGGTGGCTGCTCGGGCTCCACCAGCACATCCACCCACCAGACAGAAGGAAGGAGGAAGGGGTGGGAGCTACTCCCCTCCAGGGCACCTGCCTGAGAATGGCTCACCACTCTTCTGTTTATATCCCACTGGCCAAAATGTCATCATGTGGCCTCACTTACCCGCAGGGGAAGCTGGAGGATGCAGCCTTTTAGCTGGGCTCCCATGTGTCTGGGATTCTTATTACTAAGGAAAAAGGGGGAATGGATAATGGGAGGAGACCAGCCACCCCTGCCACAGAGAGCATCTGAGTGGGTCTATTTGGCCACACCCAATATGGAGCATCTCTATCAGATGGAGATGTGTGCTGAGTCATTGCAGAAAAAGATCCCTCCTTTGTATCCAGGCTGAACTGGCCTGTGATGGCTGGTCCGCTTAACCTGGACCAAGATGGCAGAGCCCATGGTGTTACTCTGGGCATTCAGTGCCATGACGCCCTCATGGGGCCCATGCCCTTGGGAGGTGACTGCAGGCTTGGAACGTCCCTCAGTCTCCAGAGACTCACACTTCCTCCCTCAAGCAGACCCCAGAGCTGGACATGGCCACCCATCCCAGATGTCCCCATAATCTGGAACATCCGAGACCTTGTCTCTTTAGTCAGGAGCGGTGGGCTTCTTACCTCTTCAGCCCCTGAACGTCCCTAAGCGGAGTAGCCTGACGCATGTTGGGAAGAAATTTCTGGAACTGCGCAGAAACCTTATTTTCTTTCACCTGGCTTTTCTTTTGAGGTTCCCCCCTCCCCTTTCACTTAAACTGGCCTCACCTGGCGCCCTGACTCACCCACTTTAAGAATGTCTTCCCTCAAGACAGTGAGATTCTGGTCAGCATCCAGTCTTAGAAACAAGGTCCTGGGTCTATTGACTGCTGAGATAGTTTTCAATCAAACTAAACAGAATACCTCGGCCTCGGTTGTGATTTAGCTCTAGACCCAGAGAAGCAGAACGATCCCAAAGAACAGATCCTTGTAAAATCACGCAGAACAGCCCCATGGCTGACATCAGAACCAAATGCCATGATCAATGGCCCCCTACCCCGGCACCAATCGATCAGTAGAGACCACGACCCTCGCTCTATTAGCCACCATGATTAATGATTTTCCCCCTATATAACCCATCCCCTGGAAGCCCTCAGAGAACCAGATCTTTGAGGCTGAGCCGCCTGTGACTCTGGGCAAGGCACCGTTGCCTTAATAAATCCCCTCCTTCTTGGCCGAAAACTCCTGTGGGTGGCTTATTGCCTTCGATCCATGGAGAAAAATGGGCCCCTCTGGTCCGGTAACACTCCCTTCGGAAAGACACGACCATAGTGCATGTCACTCCCCTCAGCCACCCCTAATGTCCACCTGGGGGCAGGTGAGAGCCAGGGGAGCAGCTTTAAGGAGCCTTAATCTCTTTCTGGAGCTGCCTTGTGCTGGTCTCAGCCTATCGATAACCAGTGCTGTGGCCGGACTGGCCCTGCTGGTTCTTACCGTGATTGCTGGGTTCCCTCAGCAGTGATCACCGGGAAACTTAGAACAAATAGAAGTTTATTACTTACAGGCCCTGGAAATTACACAGCACCCTTGAGGCCACACAGCAAAGTCAAGGGAAGGAGGGAGGCAGGGAGAGAGCGATTCTCCACTGGTGGATTTAAAACATACAGCAGGAATTTAAAGCACTAGAAGAGGGGGAAAAACAAAAACAAAAACAAAAACAAAAAAACACCCAAGCAGCCTAAATGGTCAGTTATCAAGATTAACCATTAACCAAGATATTTAAAATAACAGAGCCTTGTGGGGAGAGGTGGCATAGCTCTTATCTGGTTGTGCGGCTGATAATGTGTTTGTTTCTCCCCCCCCCAGCAGAAAACCGTTTTTAAACTGAATGCCTTGGCAACCAAAGCTGAAACCAGTTACTCGCATTGCCTGTGGTCCGTACGCACAAATCTCATACCCACGTATACGTTTTTACATGAAAAGAGAAAACTCAGCTGCCAGGGCTGATACTGCCAGAGCCCAGCTTTGTACCTTCTAATCAAGAGAGGAAAATGGCACAGCCCCTCCCAGGTCCAGGTCCTGCCCAGCACAGCCAGGACATACACTCATAAAACAGGCACTCCTCCCAGTTTATTGGGCCTGGAGACCACAAGGAGTGTTCACCTGGAATGTTTATGGAACTGTAAACCTTTGGGAGCCATGACAACCATGACACCCATCTTTGTGCCTCTCTGGGGAAAACCCATCACCCCAGGGCATCAGCCACTAGGGGGAGCCGTGGAGTCGTGAGCCACAGCCGCACAGATCTTGGTCTCAGGACTCATGGGGGTGCCCGAGACAGAGAGGGTAAGAGGCAGGCGCCCCATCAGCTTCCAGAGAAGAAGAAAGTGGGGTGGGAAAATAACATTAACAATAGCATTGTGAATAATAACATTAATAATAATTTCCTAGTCATCGTTCCTATGCGGTGAGACTGTGCCTCTTGAGGCAGAGGAGCTTCTGAGTGACAGGGTGGAAGGAGGCACCAGGAAGCAGCTGGTGGTGCAATAGGATGGAGAGCAAGAGGCGGATTGAGGGAGGAGGCAGGTGGGGGGATCCCGGCAACTCCCCGGGTGAGCAGCAGAGGGACTGGTGCCGGGACGGAGGCAAGGGGGCGTCCAGGGCCCGGGGGGCGGCACGGACGCCAGCTTCCAGGGGGTCATTACCTGTTCTCTGTGGGCCTCAGAGTCCTTATT